AAAAATTAGCTAATTTTTGATGGTTAATAAGTAGGGATTTTAGTATTTTGTAGACTCAAAACAATTGGCAAAGGGTGGTGCTGATGGGCCTGGAGAAGAAAAGAAGCAACATAACGCTTAAGTTCCAAGATTCCTGGAAGTGGAATGATTACCCCTAAACTAATATACCGTCCTCAATTCCACACAGTTTCACTTTTATCTCTCTGTTGTTTCCCTTTCCACCTTCCATGAGTTAGTTAGCACTAATGTGAAACTTGCAACTATCCTGACCATCTTACCAGGAGGAAAGCATACAAAACCAGAATGAACAACTGCATAAAAATGTGCACCACCCCCTGCCACCAGAAAGCTTTTTCCTTTTGTTCCCCCCTGATATCCAGTATCTTCCTTCTACGCTATTAATCTAAAAGTAGAGGCACGTGTGGTCTTACTTTTAAGAACAACAAAGCCTTCGGGGAGGCCACCTTGGAGTCCCAGACCAAGGCTGTTCAGATCAGATTGCTTCCGCGTCTGGATCCACTCTCGTATAAGTGGGATATTCTGTTTGTCCTGCAGGTTGTTTAGATTTCTGCCCAGCAGGCCTTTCACATTTTCAGGGGTTAATTCCTACAGAATAAATAGAACAAAACTAGTTAGAAGCAACTGTCGCTTTGCTGCAGGGAAGGAGTGAAGTTGTCCTTGATTAAAGTCACTGCAAGTGAGCAGAAACACTTCTGCTTTTCTTACAGTTGAAGTCATTGCATTTCACCCCACAATGATTGTAACCCTGAGATGTCCAAATCTCCCCAGCCTGTTGAGGGAGAGGAACCAACCAGCAAAGACATCCATGCCACTTTCTCGTGTCATCATTTGGCTGCACCCATCTTCTCCCACCCATACCGTCAGCTTAGAAAAGGAAAAGCAACTGTGTGTGTGGAGTGAGCAGGTGAAGATGAGCTGAGATAAGAGAGAGACCAGTGGTGGGATTCAAATTTTTTTTACTACCTGTTCTGTGGGTGTGGCTTGGTGGGCATGGTTTGGTTGTCATTGATTTTTGATTTGATTTTATTGAAATTTGTAGGCCGCCCTTTTCCCTGAGGGGACTCAGGGNAGATAGAGAGAGAGATAGAGAGATAGAGATATAGAGATAGAGATAGAGATATATATTGGAGTGGTAATGGCAGTTGTGAAAAAGATCTTGGGATAGTAATTAATTTAATGAGAGCTGACATGTAATACTGCTGCAAAAAAACAAATATAAATTTAGATTACATCAATAGAAAGTATTATTTTTAAATCAAGGGAAGGAATCATTCCACTCTATTCTGAACCAATCAGACCCCCTGTTGTTTCCTTATTTTGTGCACCACATTCTTGAAATGCCTGAAAGGAAACCACCTGAGTGAAGGTTAAGACCTGCTCTTTCTTATTCCAGAACGCAGGAAGTGAAATGAATGATTTAAGACATAGGAAGTCAAATTCCAGTTAAATGTTAAGGGGTGGAAATTTCCTAACAGTTAAAGCAGCTCCGCAGTGAAACTAATAGTCTTTTATTGGAAATTCAAGCAAAGGCTCTACCATCTTGATCTGGATTCCTGAAGGCTGGACTTGATGACCCAAGTGACTCCTTTCCTATGATTCCATCTGCATTTTAAACCAGTCCAGCTTGCCTTGCTTGTAGCTTTGTTTTCAGAGTACAAATTATTCCTTAATATTAAAGCAATGGGCACTGATGTTGTGATTGTCACTTTCTTTTCACCATTATCATACCTTTGAGACTGAGCTTCATGATGGTAATCAAGTGCAGCTGGCAGGTAAATTTGTGGACTCAGTGATACTGCCAAGTTATAACTCCCAGCCAACATGTTTAATTGTTAACATTTCTGGACATGGTAATTCATGCACATATGGAAGGTCACCAATGATCTACCCTGTGAGAAAATTGCAGTACTGTACTAAGTGCAACAATTGATAAGAATAAAACCATATTCTCTTTCCACCACTTAATATACCTTTGCAGGGATCCCTTGTGGACTCTACACTTACCAATGTGCTGATGGGAACTGTGTGAAGAAGCCCAACCCTCAATGTGACTCAGTCCCTGATTGCAAGGATCAATCGGATGAAATGCATTGTGGTACGCAACTAAGCAACTCAGGGGAAGAGATCCATCTTGGTCAGAGGAATATCTAAAACCATCTTAGCTTCTTCTGCTTAGAATGGTCCTAATAGCAGAGCTATTCTGCTATTCATTCTATCAAGGATTGCTAATACTAGGCAGTGCCATGCACTAGACCCGTGATGGCGAACCTATGGCATGGGTGCTGGAAGTGGCACGCAGAGCCATCTCTCCAGGAACACAAGCCATCACCTGTTGCTCTTCTGGGTTCTGGCATGCCAACAGGAGTGCCGGAAACTGGAAGATCATCTTCCTGGTGCACATATGCGCACCGAGCGGCTGCTCTTCCGGTTTCTGGCATGTGCACGCGCCCGTTTACAATGTACAACTTGAACTATGTTCTCACAGAATCTGTTCCGATTTCACAAGAAATAAAGAGATGCGATTAATCTAAAAATCTCATATAATTTGAATGGTTATGGAAATACTTGGGTTTCAAGATTCAGTTAGAAGGAAATACTGTGAAGACTCTGAACTGATTTTTTGAATTGGACCAATGATTCTGATCAAATTGCGGGTTTTTAAAAATAAAATTCAGAAAATGTTTTGAATTAATTTGATGCTCAAATTGGATTGCCAATCCAAGAAATCAAACTGAAACCAATCAGCTGTTCCTAATGAAGTCAAACTGCACAGTCCCAACAATTTGTTCACCAGCATCATATGTCAAGTGATTAATGTAAGAGAGCCAATTCAATGTAATTAGGGATTTGGACTGAGTCCAGAGAAACTCAAGTTTGGATCTGCCAATCATCAGCCACCTGTATATCCTCACAAGAATGATTGTGAAGATAAAATGATAGGAGACGCCACTGCCCTAGTACACCACCTTAAACTTCTTCCCAGAGGAAAGCCTGTGGCATCAATGCAGTGGATGAATGAGTGGTAATCAGTAAGGAAAACCTAGATTTTTTTATGTAGGCATGATTTTTCAAAACAGAAAAACAAAATCCATCATAAAAAGTCTTGCAAGTACCCCTCTCCCGCACTCTGTTCTACCACTCACTTCATTCTTATCATTCTTTCTACTTCCTAAAGTTTATCTCTCTTTTTTTTCAGACTGTGGCGTGCAGGAGATGGCAACACACAGAATTGTTGGTGGGGCTCATTCTGTGGAAGGGGAGTGGCCTTGGCAAGCGAGTTTGCAAGTGCGTGGGCACCACCTTTGTGGGGGGACGTTGATTGCAGATCGCTGGGTGATCACCGCAGCTCACTGTTTCCAGGAAGACAGGTAAATAAATGGGGTGGGCGGCTTAAAACTCACCCTTCTACATTTGCTTTATGTCACACTATCAGACGCACTGGATTTCTTTAGTCAGATAAATTAATAACACTGAACAAATAGTTAAATATATATATATTTAGCCTATAGCAAATCCGCAACGTTTTTGCTAGCTTTTTATTTCTCCTTGTTTATTGGTCTCGGGTTGCTTCTGGAAGAATATTGCACAACATCCTGTCTGTTATTCTACCCCACCCCATTGCTTTCCTCTCACCATTTCTTTTTCAAGATAGGTTCACATGATAAGAGATGTGTTGGTCTTTTGAGATACCATAGGACTCTTGCATAAAACCGACATGTCTACTCCTTTATTTATAGCCACTATCTAAGATAATTTTAATTGCTCCTAGTTTCTCTCTTCCTCTCTTCCCTTTCCTCCCGGCAAGCAAGTACGTGCTTACAATGTTCTTCCCTTAGGATAAGCCTCCCTACAGAAGATGCAATGACCTGTGACTAATACAATTTTATCAATAAAGCCAGTTCCACAAATGTTGGGTCTTGGGCAGAGTTTGACGAGGTGTTGAGACAGTTCCCTTTCTTCCCTAGACACAGAGTCTTTTGACCTGTACTTGGGAGCTGGACAAATGAAGTTATCAAGAGAAAAACCAAAGTTGCTTAAGTGATTTCCCACTCTTCTCTTCTGCAGCCATGTTTCCCCCACAGTCTGGACCGTATACCTGGGCAAGCACTTTCTGAACGTCAGTAGCCACAATGAGGTTTCCTTCAAAGTGAACCGCATCTTGCAGCATCCCTACTATGAGGAAGACAGCCACGACTATGACGTGGCTCTGTTGCAGCTTGACCACCCAGTCATCTATTCTGCTTTCATCCAGCCCATCTGCTTGCCTGCCAGCTCCCATCTCTTTGAGCCTGGCCTCTTGTGTTGGGTTACAGGCTGGGGTGCAGTCAAGGAAGGAGGTACAGTATTTGGTTTGTGTCCTTAAGGCCCCCTTTTTCAAGATTTATAAGGATGGATCAGATATAATTATAGGATCAAAAAAAGGCATCCTAAGCGTTTGCCAAAAAGAGTGTGCAATGCTTATTAAAAGTTGGCTGCTGAAAGTAAATTCAGCCTCATAGGAATACTACATGTGTGCTAAACTCAGGCCAAGCATTGCAAGGGCTTTGCAGCAAGATTGCTAGCAAGCTCCCTCTAGTGGATCCTTGCATAAATCATGCAAATATCACAGCATGCTTAGGAATGCCAGGGAGGGGACTTCAAGAGTTGTTCCTTTCCTTTTTCCCCTCCATAACTACATTGGGTTTGTTCCAGAGGTTTTTCCAAGCATCTGGAATGAGAGCTACTAATTCCAGATCAGCAGCTGCCAGAGGAGTAACACCACTGGGTTCAACCCATTCTGTTAGGCTCCAACAGGGTGTTTTATTTGCTAAAGGCAGGGGTGAAATGCTACCGGTTCGGACTGGTCCGCCCGAACTGATAGTAAAAAAAATGCTACCAGTTCAGGTGAACCAGTATTCCCAACGATTAGCTGTGACATGTGATTTATATTAGTTAGAATCATCAGATTTCCTGCTTTCTAGCTAATCCAAATCGCCTGGCACAGCAAATCCCACCCCCCTCCGCTGTTCTACTTACCTTTGCAGGCATGCTCGGTAGCAGCGTGTCCCATTTTGATGCTCTGCACATGCGCAGAAAGTCCTGCAAATGCACAACCGTGGTGTGCACACACACATGCTCGCATTTGCAAACCGCTAGCAAAGGTAAGTTGATTTCACCCCTGCCTAAAGGTACCATTCCATTTCTTATTCAACAGAGATTTCCTAAAACAGGGAAATGTGACTATAATGTCACACACTTTTAAGCATAAAGCAGGTAAACATCGACCTGAAAGAACTGTTTCCTCCCTATAGAACAGGGTTTCATTCCAATTTCCACATATTCTAAAGCAAGGTTTCTCAGCCTTGGCAATTTTTAAGACCTGTGGACTTCAACTCCCAGAATATTGCCGCCAGCATGGCTGGCTGGGAAATTCTGGGAGTTGAAGTCCATGCATCATTAAGTTGCCAAGGTTAGGAAACCTTGATATAGAATATGTGGAGATTGGAATTTCATAGGAACAGGAAAGATCTTCTTGCTCGGGTCAAGTTCTGCTAACCTGAAGCTCCTCTCCCACAGGCCCTACAAGCAAGATTTTGGAAAAAGTGGATGTGCAATTAGTTCAGCAAGACAGCTGCAGTGAAGCTTATCACTATCAGGTCTCTCCCAGGATGCTTTGTGCTGGCTATCACGAGGGCAAAAAGGACTCCTGTCAGGTAACTTTAAGCACTAGTTTCCATGATCTAGAAAGAACTTTTCCCTCTCCCGTGAAGCTCTGCCTTATTGGCATGCAATGTCACACACTGAGTGTTGCAAAGCTCATTACTCAGAGCTTTCTCTTTTCTTTCTATTTGAATTACATATTCTGACTGCTCTTTGGTTTCACTTTTCTAGGGAGATTCTGGAGGACCTCTTGTCTGCCAGGAAGCCAGTGGCAAATGGTTTCTAGCTGGTGTGGTGAGCTGGGGAATGGGTTGTGCACGTCCCAATAACTATGGAGTGTATACCAGAATTACTAGTTTGAAGGAATGGATGAAACAAACTATGTCAAACTGAGCATGGTTCTAAATCCCACCTTTTATTACAAGGAAACACTATTGAGGAGACATCTTTAGTCCTTGTCCCACTGTTTCAAATAGCCAAAACTGTGGAGACATCCCACCTTACATCTGGCTCCTGTTGCACCTGAGATTCAAGTTCTGGTCTTTAAGGATGTTTTAGTGTGTGAAGAAGCCTAAGGCGGCCATTGAAGAAAGATTGTTGAAAATAAATATAAAATTTGAGATGCTCTTCCAATGAAACAATAGAGAGGTATGGTGTCCTCCTTCAAAAGGTATTGACTGTAGGCTGGTCCTTATATTAGTTTGGATGAAAAATCCAAGGCATTAGGAAAATTGGTTCTCTTTTAATCTTAAATGTGGAAGTAGAAATTGGAAGTCCATCCAGTTTTTCTTGTATTATTTAAAAATCAATTCCCAAACGGTAGTGACCACAATACTGAGAAATGGGAGGAGCTGTTTGTGTAATGTTAAGCGAAGAGCATCAGGTAAATGTTGTGTTATTACTTACATGACTCATGCCTTATCTACGTACTGATTATTTGAAGAAAATTATGCATGGATTTTCCTACTGCTAAGATGATTGGAGTTTTCAATGGACGTATCTGGAAAGAAACACTCAATGAGCAGAAAACAAATGTATTTCAAAGTGACATCATTATCCAACAGCAGCTTCACCCCAAACTATGGTGTGGATGAGGTAGGAGGAGAGGCCTCTTAATTTAAATCTGGTAATAAAAATCTTTAAAATGCCAAATCAGAAGACTAATTTGACTCCCTGAGACTGTTGTCCCATGTGTTGGCATAATAGCCTTGCTTGCACAAAATGGCCGACTCTTTCCTTGGCCAACTGATCCACCATCATGTCCTGACTGGGCACAATATCTGACAGCCATTTCCTTTAGTTCTCTGGGAAACAAGTGGGCAGCCAGATCAAAACAAGCTGCTTCTACTTTAAGGCATCCAGGTAGATTGACTCCCTTTGCAAAATTAAGATTCTCTGCCTTGCATGAGATCATTTCATCGATCTGGACTGAGGAGCAGAGCTCTTTTGCAGTCAGAATGTTTACTGCAAATTTAAATAAGATTTCAGGCTCCCTACATCATTTGACAGCAAAAGAGAAATTCTGTCAATAAATGCAAAGGATCTTGTAACCAAATAACCTCAGCCTCATGTTCAGCGCTATAGCTTTGTACAGAAATTATAATGAAACTATTCTGAAAATGATATAAACACACTTCAGAGGTTTCCAATGCTAGTGTGCCTCTTGCCAAAAGAGGAGGTTTGTTGCACAGCATAAATTTAACTTTTTTGTTTACTTGCAAAATTATGGTATATTTGTCCTTAGCAAAAACTGTAGAACTTTTATTTTAACATCCTATCAACTTGGGCATACTCCTTACAATGATATTTATTATGAATGACTTTAAATGTAGCAGGACAGTGGCAGGCTAGCATTGTATGGGTTGAAGCTACTGCACTCACTCTGAAGTAGAATTATCACCACCTCCTGAAAAAATAGAAGAGCTGGTAAACACAAGAGGACCTTATTAAATTGGTAACTTGCTTGTTCCAGAAGTATCATCCTATAATACTTCCCCATGTTTTGTTTAAGCTAGGGGTGTCAAACTCAATTTCATTGAGGGCAGCATCAGGGTTGTGTTTGACCTTAGGGAGCCAGGGTGGGTGTGGCCAGCTCGACGTCAGTTGTGTCGGGGGCACCTGTGGTGGCCTGAGTGCTCTGCCAGCAAAAACGGGCTCCTGAGCTCAATTTTGGCTGTGACAGCCTCATGCAACCCCCTGCCAGCAAAAATGGAGCTCAAGAGGGTCACACACAGCCCTCCTGGCCTCCATTTTCGCTGGCACAGGCACTGCAGGTGAGTCCTTTGCTGTTTCCAGGGTGGCCCTGAGGGCCAGATCTAAGCAACCCATGGGCCGAATTTGGCCCACAGGCCTTGAGTTTGACACCCCTGGTTTAAGCTGATAAGCTGCTAGCATTTGCCCTGTGCTTATTCATAAATCAATGAAGAGGGGGTCAACCCATTCTTTAAAGCACCCCAAAGAAGACAACAAGAAGGAATGGATGAAAACTAATCAAGGGAAGGAGAACCTAGAACTAAGGAGAAATTTCCTGACAGTTAGAGCAATAAATCAATGGAACAAGAAATTGTGGATGTTCCAACACTGAAGGTTTTTAAGAAGAGATTGGAGAACCATTTGTCGAAATGGCATAGGGCCACGATGGCGAACCTAAGACATGCGTGCCATAGGTGGCACAAGGAGCCATTTGTCAGGGCACACGAGGTGTTGCTCTATCAGCTGACCAACGCACATGCGTGCACTGGCCAGCTGACTTCAGCCTTTTTTAAGGCCATTTTTTGTCCTCCGGAGGCCCTATGGGCAAACTGGAAGTTCGGGAACTTCCTATTTAGGGCCAATTTTTGACCTCTGGAGCCTTTAGGAGGCTTTCCTGAAGGCTCTGGAGGGCAAAAAAACGGCCCTACAGCCGAACAGGGACTTCCGGTTTGGCCGTAGGGCCAGTTTTCACTCTTCAGAGCCTTCAGGGAAGCCTCCTGAAGACCCCTGAAGGCTCTGGAGGTCGAAAATCGGCCCTACGGACAAATTGGAAGTCACTTGGACTTATGGGGAACCCGGAAGTTCAAGAATGGTGACTTCCAGTTTGTTTGTAGGGCTGATTTTCGACCCCTGAAAGCTCCGGAGGACAAAAACTGGCCCTACGAGCAAACTGGAAGTGACTTCCAGTTTGTCTGTAGGGCAGTTTCCCGGTTTCAGAACTAATTAAATACACACTTCTTGTGATATGGGTGGTTATATACATTTGATAAATAAATACAATTAGGGTGCCATCAGAAACCGCTCATAGCATTCTAAGCTAGTCCAAATTGTTTTGGCACTGAAGGGGCCAAATCTTTTAAGAACTTCTGCTTTCTACCAGAGGGCAGAAAGAATACACAAACTCAAAACCAGTAACTATTTTCTTAGTCTTCTATGACATATAGCTGGTTCCTGAAGCTATTACTTCAACCTGATAAGACCATTCATGCCTGGTTTGAATCGGTTCCACCACAAAAGCACGTAGGACAAAATCGCGCTCGACAAAAGCGCGCTGTGACGTCATCACAGCGCGACGAAAAAGATCGAAAAAATGTAAAAATAAAGCTAAAACCTTCCCCTAACCCCCCCAAACCTAACCCTAAACCTAACCCTAAACCTAACTCTTAACCTAACCCTAAACCTAACCCTAACCCTAACCGTTAAAGTAACGAAAAACCTAACCCTAACCCTTACCCTAACCCTAACCCTAACCCTAACCCTAACCCTTACCTTTATGTGAATCGGCTTGCTTTAATTTAATTTTTATTAATTTTTATTTGAATTTTTCGATCTTTTTCGTCGCGCTGTGATGACGTCAAAGGCGCGATTTTGTCGATCGCGCTTTTGCCGTCCACGCTTTTGACGGGTCACGGTTTGAATCAATAGCCTTTTAGAGTGCATTCTTTAATACTGAAAGTGTTTCTAGTTCCTTCTTCAGGCACAAAATTGAATTCATGTTTTCAAAGAAGTGAATAGCTGTACATAAAAGGCTGAATTCATACCTGGAACGTTTTTTTTCTAAATGGCAATGCCTTTAAAGAAACAACTTTTAAATACTTCAGAGAGGTCAAAACTGTGCATGTTTTGCTAACGGTTTAAATGCCAGACTCCTAAAATCAATAAAATTATGGCTGAGATTGCACACTTTACTAAGTCATGGTTTCCTTAAATGAAATATTGTTTAGTACATAAATTCCAGTTAGTTATTTGGAAAACACGTTTCATTTAGTATGTTTTCCGAGCACAACCTAAGGTTTCTGACAGTTGGACAGTTACATCCAAGGAAAATAAATTTCATGAATTCATACTTTCTCTTGAATGTAAGAAGCTGGAAAAATAGATCTCCTTATTCTTTATAGGACTGGAAAATGAAATGTTAAGATCTGAAAGCTGCATCCTAATCGGAGACCACTGTAACATAAAATAACTCTCGCCCACAACCTCAGGCCCAACTAGCAGTAGTTCTTCTTGCTGGAAAAAGGCTCGACCGGCACCAAGGCGAAGCAGGCCAAATCTCCATTTCCTTGGGTTTCAACCTTTTAGCTGTTATTCTCCTCCTCCTCCCTCTAGAATCTTGTTATCTTTCCAGCAAAATAAATGTGTTGTTGGAGTCAAATGCCAATATGGAAGGATGTGTTTCCTATGTACATTCTGATGAGTCCATTTTCACCAAGGGCACGAGAACATGAGACATAGTAATGAGATAGTGAAATTTATTCAGGAGTTTTTACACAGCATCCTTGGACACAATTTAAAAATTGCTGTCTCAATTAACAGAATTATGGATATCTTTGTGGCTTTATATTAGAAGTGTGGTTTTATATCAGAAGTAATATTTGTCCTGTTGATTTACATAAATGGCTATGATATTTTCTGGAGCACTCAAATGAAACATGTACTGTACATAGATGGTTGCGTGTGCATGCAGAAACACATGCATTCAAGTGTATCAAAGGCAAGATGCTTATCCATTAGAGTATTGTTACTAACCCTCCTCAAGTATCACGAGAAAGGAAGGCTATAGAGAAGAATGTATGTGCTTCCCTTCAGCCTGACCTTCTGGGATGGAGAAAATGTGAGTAAGAAAACTATTTGGCTAATTGCAGTTACAGTTGTGCATCTGGGAACCTGAATTTGTGAACCATCTCCAATCTGGTAGAAATTTAACAGAATCATACAGTAGGTTGGAAGGGGCAGGATTAGAGAACACATAACTCCATCTCCCTACTATATATTTTTACTTCTAATGTCTATTCCATAAGGACATTTAAAAAAAAAAAGTATCTCCAAACAGCTATACAGATGGCAACTTTAAGATAAATAGAAGTGAAAAGGATCGACCAGGTAAAAATCAAACCAACATTATTGCTGAGTCAAATCTGTTTTCTTCTCCTTAGTGGTCTGGTGAGTTGCATGCTAGAGGACATTTGTATATCTTTAAATAGCAATAGCAGTTAGACTTACATATCGCTTCACAGTGCCTTACCGCCCTCTTTAAGCGGTTTACAGAGTCATCTTATTGCCCCCAACAATCTTGGTCCTCATTTTACCCACCTTGGAAGGATGGAAGGCTGAGTCAACCTTGAGCCTGGTGAGATTTGAACTGCCAAATTGCAGGCAGCCGGTAGTCAGCAGAAGTCAACCTTGAGCCTGGTGAGATTCGATCTGTCAAACTGCCCCTGGCAGCCGAAGATCAGGAGAAGTAGCCTGCAGTACTGCACTCTAACCACTGCGCCACCGCAGCTCCGTAAAACTGCCCACATGGACATGCTTTCTTTTGGGGCTGGTCTTCCATGGAATGATACACATATAAAGAAAGCAACACCGACCCCTCTTCTCTAGGCTCTTGGAGTTCCTGCCATCCACTCCCTTGATCTGCTTACCAGATGGCAAATCTGGGAAAGCGAATGAATTATAACAGGGCTGGGAAACAGGCGGCTGGAAAAACTGCTCCAGCGACAAGAGATTTGGAAGGAAAATGAAATATTTGCCATGCTGCAGTTTGGACACCCCTGCTTTAGATCTTCAGGGGGCACGTTTCAGCAGCAACATCCACCGTAGCTTGTTTTCATCCAATTGGGGGGGGGGGAGTAAAACTGCACTGCAAAATCTACCCTTTGTGTACATATTATGATGTCACAACATGTGTACAGAAGTGATGGGGCTCGCATTGAAAGATTGCACACACACACACACACACACACACACCGCCCCACCCTCCAACGCCTCTCTTGACTTTCCCCTCAGATACTGCTGTGTTTCGGTAAAATATGGTGCAGTTCACACCAAGCCAACGTGATCTTCTTAGTGATGTACTTTCAGGAATAATAAAATCTTTCTCAAGAAGGACAACACTCTCATCTCAGTCTAAAGGCATAAGATTTATTATTGGATCTGCTCCCAAGGAAGAACTGTTATTTGAACACGAGCCAATCTCGCCATCTAGAAGCATATCTACCGAAGGAGAAACACTCCAGCTGGTTTCTTTCTACAAAAAAAGGGATGTATTTTCTTACACAACTTCTTATGCTGCCCTTTGCAGCTAAAAATGGAACTCTGGAAAAAAAAACACGCTATGCAATGCAAAGAGCAAAGATGGAGGTACTGCATCTCTTCAATGCTTCATCTCATTTGCACTGCAAGGATATTCCTGCAGGCCAAAATGTTAGAACTCAATTCAACAGAGATGGTTGTCCACAAAGAGCCACAGGGATTGTGGGACATTCATTGCAGCAGGATGCAGCACATTCATTGTTAAAAGCTCCTGAGGTCTTTTTCTTGTCTATTCCCACACTGAGCAAGACTAAAACCTGCAAGGCTAGAAGGAAAGTCCTGTCTGTTTTACATTGTTCTCCCCAGCAGGGGAAGCTGTGACAGCATGGAAAGTCGATTTTGGGGGCCATGGAGAAAATTAGTTCCTGAAAGTGCATGCCACGTCTCCAACAGTTAACACAAGGGTAAGAAAAGTAATCCAGTATTTTGCCAAATAACAGAACAGACAGCAATTAGAGGGTGCTGTTTAGAAATTG